TCCTAACCCCCCCAAACCTAACCCTTAACCTAACCCTAAACCTAACCCTAACCCTTAACCTAACCCTAACCCCACAGACACCCCACAACCCTAAACAATGAATAGGTTTTACCTATTCCTAACCCTTACCTTTACGTGAATCGGCTTGCTTTAAAAGCGCTTTTTAAAGCGCCCTTTTTTCTCCGCGGTCGTATTTGTCGCGCTGTGATGACGTCAGGTACGCGCTTTCGTCGAGTGCGCTTTAGTCTACCGCGGTTTTGTGGTGGAACCCCCGGGGATATATCCTGAGTACAAAAGCTATGAAATAACTCTTGTTTCACCTCCATTAAATCTGTGCTTCTCTGTGCTTTTCAATATCCCAAGGGTCTTGGGACATTGTCTGCTACATTTGCCTTCCACCCAGTCCTGTGTTCATCCCTTTCTCCCATCATGGTTTTAAGCTACTGCACCAAGGAAAATCACTTACATACTCTTTTCTAAGGCACTACGCCTCTCCTCCTCTTCCTGCTCCTCAGAGAGTGGGGGCTGCACAAGAGGTTCCATGGGAGACTCTGGGGTTCTGGGATCTGTGGGGAGCAGAGAGGGTTCAGGATCCTGCCGGAAAAAAGAAGAGAAAAGATTCCATTTCATGTTAAAATTTCCAATAAATAATAGGTTAAAAGGCAGGTTGGGGACTCAAGGCAACTCAAAACGCCTTACTCAAGCAAGAAGAGTCACTGTAGTGTCTCGTTTCCTCTAACCTCATTCAGAATATGAGAAGTTTGATGGTGCTCAGGAAGGAATATTAGTCACAAATCCGGGTTTATTTTTCCATTTTGGAGCAGATTACTTGTTTTTGATGCTGGACACTATTGACATTGGCCATACATCCCTTTTGATTTCCCAGCTTCTGAAAAGCAATTTGAAACCTCTTCACTTCTGAAATTTTAGAAGTTATGATGTAAATAAAGCAAATTGCTGACCCACTACAAGCTGCTCTAGGTTTTGCGGTAACAAAAATCCCGAAGGGAAAGAAAATACGCTAATGGTCCAAGCTACCGGATGCTTTGCAGGTAGCTGATTCTTTGCCAAAGGGAAGAAAGTTATAGAACCCATTTCTTTTTTTGAAAAAGAAAGAAACAAAAAAAAAAGCCCTTCTAATTTAAATGCCTTATTTTTCAGATACACTATATGCATAAAACAAAACTGAGCCAAAACAGAAAATAGAGAATGTAAATATAATGGTGATATCAATAATGAATATTATTATTAGTGTTAGTACTACTGTTATTATATTATTGGACAAGGTAAAATCAATAGGAAGGAAATGCAGAATGGAAAACTATAAACATGAAAGCCGATACAGGAGGCTGTATAATTACTTTATATTGTTATGTATGTTTTGTTTTTTGAATTTTCTTGTGTTTTTCTTTCTGTTTTTAAAGATTAAAATGTTTAATAAAAACTATTTTTAAAAAACGAAACAAAAACAAAACTGATTTACCTGGATTTGGTTATTAGGTCATCTGTTTTAATAAAGTTAAAGAGATACTCTACACCAGGGGTGGGTTTCAAAAATTGTTCGAACCTACTCTGTGGGCGTGGCCTCCTTTGTGGGAGTGGCTTGCTGCCCA